AAAAGGTGGTAGTACCTGGAACGATACACCAGCCTGTGTGGAAAGCCAAGCGGGTTGAATTGGAAGCCCGAAGTAACAAAGACTCTGTATAACCGTAGTCTCCTATGACACTGGTACAAGAAAGTATCATACCAAATAAATGTAAATAATAAGAAATACAGTGGTCGCAAAAAGGATCCGGAAAATAAATTGCAACAAAATTTTCCATATTTTCTGAATAGCCAAATTATTCTTTAATTTAGTTTAAATGAATGCTATAAATGGCATGATTCAATACTATACGACAGGGTGAGACACGCGCAGAAATAGTTACATTATTAATGCTAATCCTATCAAAAAATAGTTAACTAACCCTAATTAAATATAGAACTGCATCAAGAAAGGTATCATCTCTGCGCAGATTTTACCCTTTCATTAATATATTATAATTTATTAAAATTTATTAAAATAGATATTAATTTGTTTTTTAACAGTAAACACTGCAGAGATTTACATGCAGCAGCAAACTTCAACATTGAAAAAAACTTAACTCATTAATTTGATCATTATCTTCATCGCTCAATAACTCTGAATTTGATGATTCTGAAGATACTACAGTGGGCTTCTGGTGAGTGTGTTGAGTTTTTATATACCTAGTTCGAGTTTTCTTGCCAACTCAATTACTACCGTAACCTTTCTTAGTACATGAACAACATTTACAATATACTTGATCTTTGTGGTCAGCAGTAGGTATAAGATCAAGTTCTATAATAGAGACATCACTGTTTTCGTTAAACTCCATATTAAATATTTACTTTTATTATATTTAGAATTATTATTAATTATGAATTTTAAAAGCTTGTAACATATTTAAAGTAAACTTATATTCAAATTCAAATAAGATTTTTTTTTAAGTAAAAAAAAAAAAATCAATATTCAATTCGAACTAGATATTTAAAGAAAAATTAAATAAGATATTTAAAAAAAGTTTAAATTCAAATTCAAAGCTTGATTTATAGTCCAACAAGTAATTAAGTATATAAATAAAAATTAATTACAAGTCGTAAATTTTACACCTCTTTAAACATTACATAAAGAACTTTTATTAACTATTATAGCACCATCCAAACAACTAAATAAAAAGAATAAACGCAGTTTTTCTAATAGTAATGAATCACCCTCTCTTAGTAGCAGTCAAGTTGTTACTAATAATCATAAAATTTCTAGTTTAAAACTCAATTAGAACGACTTAAAGCTGAAAATGAAAGGCTTCAACAGTTTCAGCAACCTGGCATTATACAAAGCTTTAATAACGTCAATATTTCAAAAAAAAATACTTTTCAGACAGCTAATAGTTTAACAAATACTAATAAGTTGTCATATAAGTATCATAAGAAGGTTGTAATTTCTAGTCATTCTAGTGATTCTGAAAGTGATTACCACAATGAACAATTATCAAAGAAAAGAAAAAGCCATAAAAAAAATTATAAAAAGACCATCAGTTCTAACAACCCTAGTAGCTCTGAAACGGATGAATTAAGTAGTCAACAAGATCAAAAAAAATGCAAACATAAAAAAAGCACATGAATACTACCACTTTAAGTGATTCTGAAAGTTTAACTAAAGAGGTATTAATTTATAATCTTGATTTTTTTATTTTTTTTTTTATTTTTTTTTATATATATAACTTTATAATTTTTAGAAAATTTCTCAAAAAAGTTCCATCGCCAAACCTTCAAGTTTAAAGTGATATAGCTTGACAGAAATATTATTAGTAGATTATAAGATTTATGCATGTATAGGATATAATTTACTATAATCTTTGATAGTGCGTGATTTTATTAATTCCTTGATTTTTTTAGAAATTTTATAAAAAATTTTTTTAGAGTGCAATGTGTGAATTTATAGCTCGGATATAGACCTCTAATATACCGGAATATCGTAAATTGAGTTCAACCAAATATGATCATTAGTCAAAAAGGTAAAATTGTTAAAACTTTAAATAATAATATATTCTGATGCTTTAATATTTCAACTTTACAATTGCCAGTATAAAGCAAACAATCCAGATTATCCTGAATATATCAATGATTAGGCAATCAAGATGATGATGCGTCATTTTATTAATCAACAGCATAAGTATGCATTTAAAATTGATAATAAGTGAGCTTGTAAACTAATTCTATTTTATCCTTTCAAAATATAGGTAAAAAAGAGTGTGACACTACAAAAAACAATAATGATACCCAAATTACTGAAAAAGAAACAATGGGTATAAAATAACTACAGTTGACTCTAGGTATACCGGACTGCATATTCTGGACCTTTTTGTTCGGTATAGAGTAAGTTCGTTATACAATATACTCTTTCTATACCGAACTATTCGGTATATAAAGTTAACCAATAAAATTTTTCATAAAACTAAAATGTTTTTGGAAATATTCAGAATTTACTCGAGATTTTGCTTGTTCATTCATTTTTTTCGGAATATTTTAGATTTCATTACTTCGTATGTCTGCATATCCGCGAAATTATATAATAGTTCGCTATATCGAAATATGCATACATTGTTCTGGGCTGAAAATAGGAGTTCAGATACAGTATATAAAATTTACTATTTAAGTTCAGTATAGCCAGCCTAATTTATTATAAAAAATCCGTTCTGCCAAATCTGGTTTGTTATAGCCTGATTTCGGTATAAGCAGGTTTGGTATATCCAGAGTCGACTGTATTATAAAATTTGGTATTTTCTTTAATAATGTCTATATTTAACTTCTAAATTATAGTGCTGTATGAGGATGACTACTTAGAGCAAGAGTATGGCTCTGAACTAGCAACAGAAAGAGTTGAGGGTAGTAATACATATTTTTTTAAATTAATTACTTTTGATTTTACTAATAATAATTACTGTCCAGAAACATTCTCTACTAACGAACAAGAAGAAGCCTCACCGAATTTCAAACAGAATGACTGACATCTATTATGAATGAAGAAAACATAACTCATATTAATACATCAGAACCAAAAAAAAGTTTCACTAAAAAACATTGAGCTTCGACTCTCGCAGGCTTAAAATTATCACAGACAATAACATCTGACAACATGAATGAAGAATATGTCAAAAAAGTAAAGTCTAATAATCGGCAAGGGAAAAAAATGAAAACTTCAAAGAATAAAGGTATTTATTTTCTTGCCTGATTATTATAAAAAATTTATAGAATATAATTTACTCTGTATATTTTGATAATGATGTAATATTTTTAAATGTGAATATGATACATATATATAATAAATTTATTTTTATTTGTATATATATATTTAGATAAACAAATATCCATTGTATCTTCCCAATTGTTAAGATTCAACAATCGTTTATACAATAATGCAGACTAATTATTTGATAAAAGAGAAAAAAGCTTGAAACATAAAGAACTTTATTATATATAGCTCTAGAAATGCTAGAAAAAATGCTTATATAGCTTTATCAGGTATTTATCTATTTATGAGAATTTTATATAAAAATAAGATGTACTATATAGCATTAGATTAAAATATGAATTGGCGTATATAATTTATAATGCTTTTAAATTAATACAATGAAAATCAAATATTGAATAAATATTGAATAAATATAAAATAAAAAAAGCAATATTTAAATAGCAATTGTATATTTTTCAAATATTTTAAAAAAATAATTTATATTTTTTATTAATAAATATATAAAACAAATATTAGACAAAATGGCCTCTTTTTAAATATTTATTATACAATAATTTATATAATTTTAAACACAAATAGTGTATAATTTCAAACACAAATATAAAACAATTATTTTTTATAAGGAATGTTTTCACTAATAGATAATTTAGGTTTGACTCCAAGCTCATTTGAACTATATCTGATAGTACAGACTCATTTAACATAGTAACAGGCTCTAACTTAAAAGTTTTTTTTTTTTTTATATATATATTATTATTTATTTATATATATAAAATGTATATATTTAGAAAAACAGTCAATAAAATAAGCTTATTGTAAGTAAAGACTAAAAAAATTTCTAGATTGAACTCAACGATGGCAAAGGTAATAGTAATAGCATGAAAAAACTAAACAAAGTTGAATTAGCAGAAAAAACAGAATTATCTTGCTCAGAAAAAAAACACTATCCCATTAAATAAGCTGTTATCAAAACTTCACATAGTTATATAATCACTACAAGTTCACCAATTACTAATAGGAAAAACTACATCACTTTGTTATTACATCTTGCATGATCCATACTAATCATACAATTAATCATAACTGAATCCTCTGATCAATTTACACTCCATATTCAATTCGTGACAAAAGGCTGCTCCGATACTTTTGTATCGGGCAGCTATAGAATACATATTAATGCGTATAATTCCTCAATCATGGCACGCATAAAACCCATCTCTACATACAACTTTATAAATCAAAATAGTATAATAAAATAATTAATTATATAAATCATAATACTAGTAATGTGGCTATATTTAGGTAATTAATTAGAGACATGCTCATGTAGGCGGCTTCACTACCTATAATGTCTAAAAGAAAGTAGATTGTTTGTTTTTTATTCTGAAAAGAATATTTTCTCAAGTATTTCTGTTATTAGATGTTCTGTCTTAAATTTAATGCACCAACTTCAACCATGGAGACCCAAAGTTGGTGCACTAAATTAAAGCCTTTATATTTTTGATTATAGTACAGTATCACCTGTTAAATAAAACTGTCATTGGGTGTTATACATTCAATAATTATTAATTCTAATCTAGTTTTAATTTCTTTCTAATTACTATTGCTAAATGAATATCATGCACATTTTCAGAATGTAGCGATGTTGCTGTACCGATAGAATGACAACAAATCACATAAATTTTGTGTTGATCAGGGTGTTGAGAGGCTGAGTTCATGCTATAGTTCTTTCGCAATAATCTTTGATAATCAGTGATTATCAATTTATTATACCAGCAAAAAATCAAAGAAAAAAAGTAAAAAATTTAAAAAAATTAAAAAAATAGAAGCATAACATTTAACAGGATTGACATATCTATCTTCCATACTATTAAAACCAGGAAAATGGGATCTATTAGATTCTGAAGCACTGCTTCGTATTAGAAAACAAACCATCAAAGGTGCTTCGTAAACCTACTAATTTAAAATATATTATTGAAATTTTTTTAGTATTATATATAATTATATGAATTGTATTTTATTATTGTCAATATTTATGCGAATTAATTGTTTTTTAATCTTATGCAAATTGGCTTTATTAAAAACTTACTACATTATGTTTACTGTATTATGCTTTTAATCAATTTTTATTTGTATTAATTACATGAATTGTATTTTTATTATTATTATTATTTATGTGAATTTAATTTCTTTTATTTTATGCGAATTAACTTTATTAGAACTTATTACATTATGTTTACTACATGAAAGAAAAACATAATATTTTAATTATAAGCCAAAATATTTTGTTTTTACAATATGAGTGACAGAGACACAAGTCAAAATTTTTTAATATGATAAGATGATTAATAGCTGATATATAACAAAACAAACATTATATAATCAGATAGAAGATTGTTTACTAGCTAATACAATCATACAAATATCAGCCTAATATCATAAGAAGATAGCTTGATAATAAACTAAATATTAAAAAATAAACTAAAAATAAAGCCAATATTATAATGCTTAATATAATTAATAAATATACGACTATGATATAAACCGATATGCTAATAATTATATACATTATTAGAAGATATTATACTGAGTAATAAATTTTATTTATGAATCAAATTATAGCAGATATATTATT